AGTCCTTCCCCTCCTTTTACAGTGGCAACACAGCCAGGACTCATCCCTCTACCACAGGTCTTCCCCCTCGGATGATGCACAGTTGGGCTATCTACCCTTAGACCCTTCCACCCCAGCTCTTGCCCTCTCTGTTTCCCTGGCACTCTTCCTATGAATCCCTTCCTCTGGCTTCCCTTCATAGATCAACCCTTCCCCAATGTCTATTTTGTTTGCATAGACTGGGTCCCTTCCCAGCCACTTTCCCAATTTCTTAGCAGAAAGTTTGGCCTAGTCTCCCCAGACAGCTACTGGGGCAGCTCACCCAGCTTTCCGGTGTCTCTTCTTCACTACTGACTGAGACACAGGCTTATATACTATAGCCCTGGGATTCACATTCACCGGAGCCCTGGGCTGTCCATTCCATCGCCACCCTTAAAGGTCAGCTCTGCCTTGACAGAGAGCAGATCAAACCGGGCTACTATCAGAAAGTACCCAAGCTGGTTCTGGGGTAGCTGTGGCTGACATTGCCCTGACACATGCTTTCCCAAGACAACTGCTATCTGCGAGGGTCTAATGTCATTTCATTGTTGGATGATGTAGGAGAAACCGCTTCTATTCAGTGACAAATGCAGCGAGTTCTGGGGCTCTGGGAACTTGCGATTCAGCCTGTCTGCTGTCCGGTTTTGTGCCCCAGAAGGTAGGCTGTCGATAGTGTGATACTGTGGGAAATGCCCCAGATTAATAATTGTAGTGCTTCTGTGCGGAGGGAGGGCAACCTGGCTCCTCCCGATTTAATTACGCAATACGTACATGGTATGTTGTCTGTTAAGACACTCATGTGAATTCCCTTGAGCAGTGGGAGGAAACGGGAGCAGTTATTCCTGACTGCCCTGAATTACCACAACCATGACTCAGAGGCAGTTCTCAGAATCCTCAGGAAGGCTTTCCAGAATCTTTCTTTGGCGCATAATACGAAAAACAGAACTAACATTTCCCATTGATTTCTTTAATGCTGAAGGCTCGTAAACTTCATCGGCCCTTTTACTGAGAAGAATTATTTCCATGGGTGCCTTCATTATGTCTAAATATTGAATATGAGAAGAAGGAGTGATTCATACTGGTTGTTGATCAACTGTATAGTCAATTTTTTGACAAAGCTTTCATTTCTTACGAAATATATTCAAGAAGTCAAATAAACAGTGTCATTTTTACTGCTCTAAACCCATAATAAAATAGTACCAGAAAAAGGATTTATACAATACCAGTCTCTGGGAAGCCGTCTCGTGCAGTGATGTTACATTCATCTTACGCAGAAAGTGTGCTTCCCAAAGTTACACACTTCAGCTTTTTTCCTTTATATGAAGATTTCACAAGTTACACCTCTCTTTATACATCACTAAAATCCAGCCCAAAATCTAGTTTGTCCCATTCCGTACTGTATGAAGGGCAATGGTCCTGCTGTTGTGGGAAACTTTCCTGGCTTCTGCACTACCCAGGAGAATTGGCTAGTGAAAGGGTTTGAGTCCCCACTCCCACTCCCTTTACCCAGAGACCTGCCTAAACTCAACGACTCCCTATGACTTTGCACTCTATATTATTTTATGAAATAATGATGAGTGTGAATATAATGTAACTAGAATATGCTTCATGCAAAAGGTCTCTTGTAAGGTATCATTACAAAGCTTATAAGTTACTGAGTGTGGTCATCCTATTTGTATAAATGTATCACTCTTGTATCTGAAACTAGAAATATGAAATATAACTCTGAGGGCCTATTTTAATTATGCAAAGTGTGGGCCATTAATGGTGGTTTGGAATCTTAATGGCTCCCATGAAGCTAGACAATTGACTGGGATGTCTCTATTTGCAGTCATGTCTTCCTTGAGTCAGGGTGGGAGGAATGAAGGCTTGGGGTCTTACCATGACATGTGATCATGTCACCTGAACCGGAATCCATCTTTAACCTTGTGCTTTTCGATTGAGAAGGAAGGGATGGGAACCCAGAGAGGGACCAAGGATTCCCACCTTATGCAAAAGATATAAAAGCGGTGGAACAGAACAAAAGGAGTCCATCATGAGCAATCCCCCAGATACCCTGAGCTGAGCTGGAACAAGGGCTGTACCAGGGGAAAGAATTGTGCCCAGACTGGGAAGGTGTCCAGTCTGTGAAAGAAACTTATTGAACCATCTCTGAGGGTGAGATTTTATCTGTATTCAGTTTTATTACTGTATTAGGCTTAGATTTGTGTGTTTTATTTTCTTTTACTTGGTAATTCACTTTGTTCTGTCTGTTACTACTTGGAACCACTTAAATCCTACTTTCTGTATTTAATAAAATCACTTTTTATTTATTAATTATCCCAGAGTATGTATTAATACTTGCAGGGGGCGGGGGGGACGACAGCTGTGCATATCTCTCTGTCAGTGTTATAGACGGTGAACAATGTATGAGTTTACCCTGTATAAGCTTTATACAGGGTAAAAGGGATTTATTTAGGGTTTGGCACCATTGGGAATTGGGCATCTGAGTGTCAAAGGCAGGAACACTTCTTAACTGGCCTTCAGTTAAGCCTGCAGCTGTTAGGGGAAGTGGTTCAGACCTGGGTCTGGGTTTGCAGCAGGCTAGTGGGTCTGGCTCAAACCAGGCAGGGCTCTGAAGTCATAAGCTGCTAGGGGCAGGAAAGCAGGAGCAGAAGTAATCTTGGCACATCAGGCAGCAGCTCCCAGGGGTTTTCTGTGATCCAACCCGTCACACTCCCCTTACACTCTCCTGTGTAGCAAAGTCCTTGTAATGATGACATGGCTGGTCCCAGAATTCCTGGCAGGCTGAAGCACCAGTCTCATTGTGGTCACTTAGGACAGGTGCTAGGGTGGCCCCACTCCAGTGTGCCCTCTTCACACCAAATGCTTCCGTGACTCTCTGATCATGACATTATGTTCAAACCAAATATATTTTACTAAACAATAATGGTTAAAAAAATGAAAAAAAAAAGAGAAATGTTCAAGAAACAAGTAACCCCACTCTGCGGGCATGGGGAACACCACAAACAGCTAATTCTGGTATGTAAGAAATGTTCCCAGTTTGTTCCTCACATGTCCCGTGCCTCCTACCCAGGCCGTGGCTGCTCTGCCTGATACTGTAAGTGAGGCATCTGTCCTGGTGATGGTCATACTCCCTTAGGCTCTAGGTTGCAGTATTCTTCTCCCCAGCATCTGTCCTTCCATCTCATACACGTACACCCTTCTGCCTTCTGGGCTGCTTCTCTGCCCCTTATGTTTCTGGCTGCTGCTGCTCTCCCTCCAGCTCAGCTTGAAAGACTGCCAGATTTCTACTGCATTATTAGCCCAAAGTCATTTAAAAACTAACCCCAAATTAGCTCTATTTCTTGAAGCAAAGGGATATTTTTTAATCAACACATTGGCCTATACATCAAGAAAGAAATGGAAGATTTCATTAGATATCTAGTACAGATTTGATTTCTTTTTAAAAAGCTACAAGCCCCAGCAGGAGTTGATGCACCTTAGCAGCAAAGCTATGAGATAACAAACAAAATCAACCCCCCAGTACTGGTACGAGTATCCCAATTGAGGGTTGACAGGTGTTTAAAAAAATGACTGTATTAAAAATAATCCAAAAGTAGCCCAAGACTTATGTAGTCTAAAAACAAAAAATCACATTATTATGTTATGTTTTTTCTAATGGCATTCAATGATGGTAATCAACGTCCATATTTTGAGTTGAATTAGCTTGTTGCTGTTAATCTCTAAATGGCAACATTTCATCCTCGATGTCTTCATTGGGAGTAGAATGCTCCTCCTACTGCTCATATATCAGCAGTGACCACTGCAATTATTTCTTTCTTTGGTGCAAACTGTTCACAACAGATTTTGTGTCATTGCATATGTGCCCTAATAAGAATGTTTTCTATAAGTTCCTCTTGCATCTTCTTGCACAATTTTGTTTATATCAAATTCATCTGAGAAAAAACAATCATTCAACTGCAGCATTGCTAAAAGGTAACAACAGTAATGAAAGAGCAAACAAGCCAAGTTCACTAAAGTCTTTGTCCTTAGCTGAATCCGTGTTTTCGAGAACTTCAACCCCAAACTGCTCAACTTGGTATTCCTGAGCATGAGGCCAGTGAACCATCAGCAAAACTCTCCACTGCTGCTCCAACTGTCCAAGCTCTCCACAAACCAATGGCAAAAATGAGATATCAGCCAACCTAGCTCATGCAGAGCTGAGCGCAGTAGAAGGATTCAATCACCTCAACATTTGGTGGCAATCTCTGTTTCATCTGTTTCAAAAACTCCAACATGAAATCTCGACACCTATTTTGACATCTTCGACAGTGTGAACTGTTAGTGTCTGTTTTGAAAGTTCCAACCTGAGAGCAGCTCAATGGTTTTGGTTGTAGTTTAATACAGTAGTCCCGTTCTCAAAAATACACAGTTTCACAAATCTAACCAATAAGCTCTAGAAGAATGTCTTCAATTCCTGCAGCAGCTTTCCTGTATTATCACTTTCCAGTTGAAATATTTGGTTTATCCTACAGGCTTCCCGAATCACTGGACATAGGAAAATCAGGTAAATTTTACTCACCAGATCTCTGAACATATGAAAAAGAAGTTCAGCATTGTTGTTTCTTTCTTTGTCTTTGGCTATGTAGAAGCATAGATTCAGTCTGTCAAACTGATCAAGAATCCTCTACACACAGGTATTAATGCAAAGCCACCTTACGCCAGAAAGCTGCATTATCTTCTGGTGGTCTGAAAGTCATGGAAAGGCCAAGTGACAGGGGTTGGGGCTGATGGGTGATGCTGAAAGAGGTCAGGTGATGGTCAGAGAGGGAACTCAGCAATGGAGAGAGCACTGGTTGATGATGGAGTGATAAGTCATTAGGTGTGAGGAATTTCTCAGACTATGAACTTCCACAATGGTGAGTTTAGCCTAACTAGAAGAGAGCACCCATGATTAACAAGGGGATATCCTTTCCCCCTCTTGTCAGAAAGTTTTAAAGTCAGTGGCCCCTGAGAAAGCACATTCTGCAAGTGCATTTGACCACTTTCTCACGAAGCTCTTTGTTTTTGACGCCGTAGATGACAGGGTTGAGCATGGTGGGGAGGAGGAAATAGAGGTTGGCTAAGATAATATGAATGTGGGGAGCGATGCCCTGACCGAACCTATGTGTCAGACTGGAAAAGAAGAAGGGAGGATAAGACATTAGCATCACACAGATGTGGGCTGTGCACGTGTTAAGGGCTTTCTGGTGGGCTTTCTTGGAGGAGATTCTGAGGACAGCCCTGATGATCAGACTGTAGGACAGGGCAATGAGCATAAGATCTAACCCTAAGACTACAAATGCTATCACCAAGCCATACATCTTATTGACTGTGGTTTCCCCACATGACATCTTCACCACAGCCATGTGCTCACAATATGTGTGGGGGATAATGTGGTTGTCACAGAATGGCTGCCTACTCAGAAGCAGGGGCAGGGGCAGCATGAGGAGAACAGCTCTTATCAAACCCACTAGCCCTAGCTTAGCTATTCGTGCATTGGTGAGGATGGAGGCGTATCTCAGAGGGTTACATATGGCAACATAGCGATCAAAGGCCATTGTCACGAGGACAGCTGACTGAATAATAGAAACTGAGTGAAGGAAGAACATCTGGGTGAGGCAGCCATGCACAGTAATACCTTTCAAATTAAACCAAAATATACACAGTGCGTTTGGCATGACGGAGGTAGATATGCAGATGTCTGTGAGTGCCAGCATGCAGAGCAGCAGGTACATCGGCTTGTGGAGGGACTGCTCCTTGCCTACCACAAACAGAAGCATGAAATTTCCTAACAGGCCAATAATGTAGAACATAGAGAATGGGATGGAAATCCAGATGTGAGCAGCTTCTAGCCCAGAGATGCCCATTAGGATGAATGTTGAAGGGTCAGAGGGTGTGCGATTGAAATCTGCCATAAGGTTGTCAATATGTCAATCAGGTTCAGAAATGCTCAAGGTTCCTGTGAAGGGACAGAAACATAGTGAGGGGCTTACACACTCTATAACAATTATAAAAAAAAATACATTTCATAGTTATTAACAACCTAGAATGGGGGTGAACAGCGAGGTGGCAACTATTGCAGATGGCACCAACTTATTTAGGTCATAGTCAAGTCCAGAGAAGTCCTCAGAGGGAGCTAACCAAGCCAGGTGAATGGCACATTACCTTCAATGTTAATAACTGAAACATGTATTCACATTGGAGGGAAAAGCTTGAACTCCTCAAACACCTAACAAGGTTGTAATTTAACAGTATGAACTCAGGACAGGGAGCTGGGCATCATGCTACACAGCTCTGGGAAACCCTCCTCACAGTGCAAGCAGGGACAGAAACTAAGCAAAACATTGGAACCCAGAAGGAGTGGGATGGGGAATCATACAGAAAATACAATGTATTGAGAAAAAAGAAAAGGAGTACTTGTGGCACCTTAGAGACTAACCAATTTATTTGAGCATAAGCTTTCGTGAGCTACAGCTCACTTCATCAGATGTATACCGTGGAAACTGCAGCAGACTTTATATACACACAGAGAATATGAAACAATACCTCCTCCCACCCCACTGTCCTGCTGGTCATAGCTTATCTAAAGTGATCATCAGGTTGGGCCATTTCCAGCACAAATCCAGGTTTTCTCTCCCTCCACCCCCCCCCCACACAAATTCACTCTCCTGCTGGTGATAGCCCATCCAAAGTGACAACTCTTTACACAATGTGCATGATAATCAAGTTGGGCCATTTCCTGCACAAATCCAGGTTCTCTCACCCCCTCACCACCCTCCCAAAAACCACACACACAAAATCACTATCCTGCTGGTAATGGCTCATCCAAAGTGACCATTCTCCCTACAATGTGCATGATAATCAAGGTGGGCCATTTCCAGCACAAATCCAGGTTTTCTCACCCCCCCCCACCCCCATACACACACAAACTCACTCTCCTGCTGGTAATAGCTCATCCAAACTGACCACTCTCCAAGTTTAAATCCAAGTTAAACCAGAACATCTGGGGGGGGGGGGTGTAGGAAAAAACAAGAGGAAATAGGCTACCTTGCATAATGACGTAGCCACTCCCAGTCTCTATTTAAGCCTAAATTAATAGTATACAATTTGCAAATTAATTCCAATTCAGCAGTTTCTCGCTGGAGTCTGGATTTGAAGTTTTTTTGTTTTAAGATAGCGACCTTCATGTCTGTGATTGCGTGACCAGAGAGATTGAAGTGTTCTCCGACTGGTTTATGAATGTTAGAATTCTTGACATCTGATTTGTGTCCATTTATTCTTTTACGTAGAGACTGTCCAGTTTGACCAATGTACATGGCAGAGGGGCATTGCTGGCACATGATGGCATATATCACATTGGTGGATGTGCAGGTGAACGAGCCTCTGATAGTGTGGCTGATGTTATTAGGCCCTGTGATGGTGTCCCGGTCAGTAGGTTTCCGGTATAGGGTGGTGTTTATGTGACCATTGTTTATTAGCACTGTAGTGTCCAGGAAGTGGATCTCTTGTGTGGACTGGACCAGGCTGAGGTTGGTGGTGGGATGGAAATTGTTGAAATCATGATGGAATTCCTCAAGGGCTTCTTTTCCATGGGTTCAGATGATGAAGATGTCATCAATATAGCGCAAGTAGAGTAGGGGCTTTAGGGGACGAGAGCTGAGGAAGCGTTGTTCTAAATCAGCCATAAAAATGTTGGCATACTGTGGGGCCATGCGGGTACCCATAGCAGTGCCGCTGATCTGAAGGTATACATTGTCCCCAAATGTGAAATAGTTATGGGTAATCAGTCAGACAATGTTTCACTCTCCTCTGGACTCCTCTGTGTAGTACTGGTCACCCTTCTCACACAGGATATTGCAGAACTAGAGGGGTTCAGGGAATGATCAAGGAGAGAGGTTGAAAAGCCTGGGATTGTTACCTTACAAAGGAGGAGATATGAGAAATAAGAGGAGATATGAGAAAAGTCTATAAAATACGGACTGGAAGGAGAGAGCGAGAACACATGCTCTATCTACTCTCCAACAAAAGATCAAGAGGACATTCAATTACACTGAAATGTGGCAAATTCAAAACAGATAAAAAAAGAATGCTTTCTTCACTTGATCCCTAATTAAACTGAGGAACTCATTGTCACAAGACATAATTGGGTCCATGAGCTAAGCAAGGATCAGTCAGTGTTTGGACATTTACATGGATAGTGAGACTATCCAGTTACAATAGTTACAGCAAAATAAATATTTAGGAAAGCCTATATGCCAATGTGTTTCAGGGCACAAGCCAATCTCTAGCTGTTAGGCATTAGGGTGACAACCTCATGATGGTCAGGTCAACCCCCCATCCACTCACTCCTAGGTTGTTACACCTTGTACTGAAGCACCTGGGACTCTCACTGTCGGAAAGAGGACACTAGACTAGATGTACCATAGGTCTGATCCACAATGCAGTTCTTGTGTTGGAAGGGAGCCAAGTTTCCCTCATGGAAACAGGCATAATCATGCTGGGCTATAATTGTGTACTCAAGAGAATGGGTACTAGGGGCACAAGTGTTGTGGTATTTCGGGCTATAGGTCAGCAACTTGGCTCCCTTCCAACTTGTTTCTTTGGTGAGACAATTTCTGGTGGGTTACAGGCGTTAATTGGCTAGTGTAAGCAGAGACATGTGTCAGCAACTCTGGTGCTTACCTTCTTATGCCTGAATATTGATGAAGTTTGCAGATGACACAAAAAGTGGGGGATGGTAAATAATGAAGAGGACAGGTCACTGACTCAGAGCAATCTGGGTTGATTGGCAAACTGGGTCGAAGCAACCAGTAGGTGTTCTAATGCTGGATATCTACATCTAGAAACAAAGAATGTAGCCAATCCTCACTCGATGGGGGGATATCGTGGGAAGTGCAATGACTCTGAACTAGATTTGGGGGCATGAAGGGGTAATTAGCTAAACACGAGCTCCCAGTGTGACCGTGTGGCCAAAGAGCCTGAGATGATATCCAGGGAAATCTGACTGAAGGAGAGGTAGAGAAGTTTTTTACATGTATATTTCGCACTGGAGCAACAGCTGCTGGAATCCTCTGTCCAGTTCTGGTGTCCATCGTTGAAGATGGATGTCGATACTGTTGCAAATTGCCATCACTACTATGATGAGTCTCACGTTTTCTCTTCTTGCGGGGGTGGGGGGTTCAGGGCACTGTTTCTTGCCCCTGAACTGGGGTATTAACTGCCCCACTAGTGTCCTAGAGGAGGGGAGTGGAGAGGGAGGGACCCGGGCCCGCCCTCTACTCCGGGTCCCAGCCCAGGGGCCCTAGGGATAGCGGTAAACCACTAGAAGTAGCGGTTCCTTCCCCTGGGCTACTTCCCCCTCCTGCCCTTCAGGTTGTGGGGCTCCTTGCCCTCCCTCTGTACAAACCAGGTGTCCCTTTATCTAGGGTCTTAGTCTTCTTAGCCCACCGCAGCACTTCTCCAAACTCTCCTCTGCTTCCCTCCAAACTGCTCTCTGCTCCAACACCAATCCACTCTGCTTCAACTCAAGATGAGTTCAAGATGAGGCTTTCTTCCGGCAGCTCACGGAAGCTACTGGATCGCATGCCCTGATTCTCATGGGTGACTTTAATTTTCCTGATATCTGCTGGGAGAGCAATACAGCGGTGCATAGACAATCCAGGAAGTTTTTGGAAAGCGTAGGGGACAATTTCCTGGCGCAAGTGCTCGAGGAGCCAACTAGGGGGGCGCTTTTCTTGACCTGCTGCTCACAAACCGGGTAGAATTAGTGGGGGAAGCAAAAGTGGATGGGAATCTGGGGGGCAGTGACCATGAGTTGGTTGAGTTCAGGATCCTGACACAGGGAAGAAAGGTAAGCAGCACGATACGGACCCTGGACTTCAGGAAAGCAGACTTCGACTCCCTCAGGGAACGGATGGCCAGGATCCCCTGGGGGACTAACTTGAAGGGGAAAGGAGTCCAGGAGAGCTGGCTGTATTTCAAGGAATCCCTGTTGAGGTTACAGGGACAAACCATCCCGATGAGTCGAAAGAATAGTAAATATGGCAGGCGACCAGCTTGGCTTAATGGTGAAATCTTAGCGGATCTTAAACATAAAAAAGAAGCTTACAAGAAGTGGAAGGTTGGACATATGACCAGGGAAGAGTATAAAAATATTGCTAGGGCATGTAGGAATGTTATCAGGAGGGCCAAATCGCACCTGGAGCTGCAGCTAGCCAGAGATGTCAAGAGTAACAAGAAGGGTTTCTTCAGGTATGTTGGCAACAAGAAGAAAGCCAAGGAATGTGTGGGCCCCTTACTGAATGAGGGAGGCAAACTAGTGACAGAGGATGTGGAAAAAGCTAATGTACTCAATGTTTTTTTGCCTCTGTTTTCACTAACAAGGTCAGCTCCCAGACTGCTACGCTGGGCATCACAAAATGGGGAAGAGATGGCCAGCCCTCTGTGGAGATAGAGGTGGTTAGGGACTTTTTAGAAAAGCTGGACGTGCACAAGTCCATGGGGCCGGACGAGTTGCATCCGAGAGTGCTGAAGGAACTGGCGGCTGTGATTGCAGAGCCATTGGCCATTATCTTTGAAAACTCGTGGCGAACCGGGGAAGTCCCGGATGACTGGAAAAAGGCTAATGTAGTGCCAATCTTTAAAAAAGGGAAGAAGGAGGATCCTGGGAACTACAGGCCAGTCAGCCTCACTTCAGTCCCTGGAAAAATCATGGAGCAGGTCCTCAAAGAATCAATCCTGAAGCACTTACATGAGAGGAAAGTGATCAGGAACAGCCAGCATGGATTCACCAAGGGAAGGTCATGCCTGACTAATCTAATCGCCTTCTATGATGAGATTACTGGTTCTGTGGATGAAGGGAAAGCAGTGGATGTATTGTTTCTTGACTTTAGCAAAGCTTTTGACACGGTCTCCC